GTGGTTCTTTTCCTCCCCCCCCCCACACACATACATATATACACACATACGATTTCCCCCAACCCCACTCCAACATTCTGGCACCTGCAGCCTTACCTGCCAACCTTACCACCTTATTCGCATCGTTCTCCCATGTCCTGCTGCCATAACTTCTTCTCCATCGTGCTCTCCGGCTTGACTTCTCCCTCCCCTCCTCCCTCCCTCCCTCCCTCCCTCCCTCCGTCCCTCATTCACTCGCTCATTTTATCTCCCTCATAACTTAAGGTATCCGCTCTGGAGATGAGGTACATGGCTTGCCACACCGCACTGCTAGGGGACAGCAGGGTGACGGATCTGGTGCCGCTCCACATGACCACGGCCGCCGCCATAGCGGCCGCCGCGGCCGCCGCGGCAGAACCGGCGGCGGGTTCCGCAGCGCCGCAAGACCGGCCACCACCACACTCTGCGGCAGCCGCCGCTGGCAGCTGTGCTGGTGGTGGCGGCGGCGGAGCCGGTGGTGGCGGCGGCGCTTGCAACAAGGAGCGAACTCCGTCGTCGGACGGCCCCGGCGGACACTCCCGGCGAGCGTTCCGCTGCTCGCAAAATGGTATTGGCGGCTGCGGCGGCGGCGGGGTGGTGCCGAACGTGGCTGGCAGCGGTAGCCAGTCGAGGCCTGGCAGCGGCAGTAGCTTGCCGTTTGTGTGTATGACGACCGCGACCGTGGCGGCCGCGGCGCCGCCTCCGCCGCCTCGTCCGGACAGCGCCGCCAGCGGCATCCGGTTGTTTAATGTGTTTAGCCGGGGAACTAGCGCTGACGCCGGCGGCGGCGGCGGCGGCGGTAGCGCGCCAAGCAGCCCGCAGCCAGCGGGCCGCGTACACTCTGGCGATGCAGCGGAGGCGGCCGCGGTGGCCGTGCTGCCGCCGCGCCCGCAGCACCGCCGTGGGTGGCTGAGCCTGGGCAGTGGCGGCAGCGGCGGTGGCGGCAGTACGATCGTCCGCGATGGGATTGTGACGTCGGAGCTGCCTTCCGCGCAAAGCTGCTGCATTGCTGTTGCGGCAGCCGCTGCTACTGCCAGCCAGCCCTCCAATGCTAACGCTTCTGAGGCCGCTGGACCGCACGGTGATGGACGTGCGACCGCCGCCGCGGCGGTGACGCCGCCACCGCCGGCTTGCCGTACCAAACGTCGCCAGCAGCAGCCGCACCCTGGCTCGGCGGCGGCGGCGGTTCTACGGCACATTTCCGAGGCCGACGGGCCGGCGGAGGCGGCCGCGGCGGCGCTTCCTGGCGCTACCGAAACCCCACCGACTCAGGGCATCGGCGGGGCCGCTACCAACACCGCAGGAGCAGCTGCTGCCGTACCCGCGACCCCACCGTCCACCACGCCGCCAGGCAACACCCCCGTTGCTCCGCCGTCGCGCGACAATGCCCTTCATTACGTGTCCCCTGTCCCGCCGCATGTACCGCATCTGCGGGTGCTGATGGTGCCGCCAGCGTGCGACGGCGGCGGAAACGGCGAATTGGCACCGCCAGCGGCGGCGGCGTCGGCGCCAGCGCACCCCTCCCCTCATCCGCTAGCTGGGCACCGCTGGCCCTTTGGCAAGGGCCACAGACGCGCACGAAGTCAACCTGTAGGGGTGCCGTCAGGCAGCCACGTTGGCGGCGGCGGCAGCGGGGGGTTGTTAGTGCCGCCGTCGCCACGATCGGTGCCCGGGAGCGCCGCAGCGGCGGCGGTCGGCGATGGCGGGACAGGCACGGGTGTTGCGTCCAGTGGCGGCGGCCTAGGGCCCCATCCGCTGGGGACTGCTGAGAACGCGACGGGCGCCGCTGACCCATCGGCCGCAGCGGAAGCAGAGGCGGCAGACTCGGAGACGGCGGCTGCCATCACCGCGGCCGCCGCCGGCGCGTTGCTTGTGACGCCGCAGCGACTAGCGCAGCTGCACGCCTTCACCGCTGCCGTACAGAGCATCGCGACGGCACTCAGCAAGAAGCAGCGAATGAAGGAGATCATGGGACGGTTGCTCGTCCAGTACGGCATGGTGGGTGAGGAAGAGTAAGGCGGTGACGGCGGCATCGGTGACAGCCGGCGCGCCTACTGCTTAGCGTATTGGCGCCGTACGGGACCGGAGCGGGCCGCGGGGGGCAAGCTGAATGCAAGGAAAGACGCCTGGCTGCCTACTAGCCGTCGGCAGCGACTGCGGCTGGATATGAATGGGTGGCTGGCGGCCGAACGGGACATGTGTGTGAAGTACATTATGTGTTTTAGGACATGGAGCAATCGCGCTGCTGCTTCCTTGGAACTGTTTGAAAATTGGAATGTATGAGGTTTGGAGGAACGACGTTGACTGGTCGGGCGAAGGGTAGAAAAGCCAGGGGTGGGGGGGAAATGGGAGGGTTGGAAAGAAACACCGAAACACGGGTGTGTCGAGGCACGCGGTTAGAAATCCTGAGGAGGAGGAGGAGGAGAAAGAAAAGGCGCGTGTTGGAGCGCGCTGTGTGGTGTTTCGTGGTGTCGTACGAAACAGCATAAAATGAAACCTCCTTCTCGTTCTGCTGCTTGGGGACCCCCGTGGTTTGGAGGGCAGGCTGCGCTTCTGTGAAGGGGAGGGTGGAGGCAGACAGACAGACGTACAGATAGACACACAGATAGATGTACAGACACACGTACAAACGTACAGGCAGACAGACAAGAGACGTACAGACAGAGAGACAGGCCCTCGGAAAATTTGAGGAATGGCCGCCAGGGAAATGGTTTCAGGCGCCATTTCCCCCTCTTTGTCGTCACCATCGTAGTCCGTTATACCGTTATACCGTTAGGTCCGTCGTCGTTGTTTCCAGCAGGTTGTGACTCACCATCGCAAATATGGCCGTTGCCATGCCGTTGTCGCCATATCGTTGTCGTTGTCGTTGTGGTCATCGTCGTCGTCGTCGTCTTCATCCATGGATGACTAAATGCAGGTCGACACCCACACGGCGGACGACCCAACTCAGGACAGCGGCAACGCTGAATGCTCCGCCTCGCGATTCCAGCCGTGTTTCCACCTCGCATGGTTGTGGTGGTTAGGAAGGTGGTGGTGGTGCTGCTGCGGCTGCTTCCATTACTGCAGCTACTTGCGCGCCTTCTGTTTCTCTCCATCCGCGGGTTCTCATCCTGGCAATGGACTTGTGGTGTGGGGTTGGGGTGGCTCTCACGTCTCACGCTTGAGGACATCGGGCTTGGGGACGGTGATCGCTGTTGGCGCTGAAAAAGCTCAACAGCCCATCATCAACAAGCCCCTCATCGCAACGCGCCGCTGCAAGGTGGTGGTGGGGATGGCCGCGGGCCGGCGGCGGCCGGGGCGGCAGCCGGGTGGGTGTTGTGGTGTGGTGTGGTACCACCGGAGTGGGGACACTGGGGGAATACTGCGGGTAGCAGTGATGACGGTGACGCAGTACCGGCGCAATGCTGGGTTTGCCCCCTGATGATGGCCCCTGATGCACATGATTGCGTTTTCATTGATGGGGGGAGTCGCCCTGGGGTTGGCCAGCGCAGGATGGATGCAGGGCGCGTACCCGCACATATGCACAAGCACGTGCTCATATGCACATGCATATGCTTCATTCGTGACTGGTCTGTTTTTAGTTGCTGTTTACGTGGTTGGGGTTTTGCTGTGGCGGGAGGAGGAAAAAAGAGTTCAAGGGGGAGAGGCAGTTTCCCCTCCTCCTTTTCTCCTTGTTCTGCTGCATCAGATTGCAGGACGGTGCTGGTGATGCTGTCGTTGCTGGGGCCGGCGTCCTCCGGTCCTCTCGCTGTGAGGGGATGAACTGCGAGGGTGCATGGTGATGTTGGTGAGGCGATTCCCCTGCTGAATGCCTGTGTGTGTGTGTGTGTGTGTATCGGGGAATCCTTTGTGCATAAAGGCGCGGTAATTTCGGATGACGTGATGGTGAAGGGCCGGATGCTGGCGCCACCGTTGTGGCTGTTTGGCTGTGTGAGTGGTGCTGGGTCAGTGACAAAATGGTCAGTGCCTGAAGTGCCGGTGCATGGCGATGGTCTACGATTCGTCGGACTGTATGAATGGACGGACATGTATGTATGTCTTGTGTGTGTTGGGGAGAAGAAATGCATCCGGGAATCCGGGCGCACAGGCCCACCTCCCTCCAAAGCAACATTTCCACTCTCCGCGACCCCACCCCAACCACCATCACAACCATCATAACCACCACCACCACCCCAGGCGAAGTAACTTAAGAAATGAAACACGTCTGTGTTGCACAGCGTGACATAGTGATGCACGTGTTAGGGGCCTCCCTAGAGGACAGCTAACTGCAGCACATTCCGAACCGTGTCACCAACAGCCAACTTGTGTATGTGTGGGTGTGTGTTGCACATAGATATAGTGATACAGTAGACTCCGTTGGATGCTGTGGTGGGTGCGGATCCTGAAATGTTCCCTGTTACCAAGAGTTCCCTATAACAGCAACAGCAAGGCAAATGAGCTTAAACATGATTAAAACCCTAAACATGATTAAAAGGGATTGGATGTCCACTCAACGATCCACTGAGAAGTTGACTAGGGTGACTGGACGAGGGTGCCCCGAGATACCGGGGAAGGCAGGGTTTAGCTGCAACGGGCGAAGATATACCCCTCTGTTCCACACAACATATAGTGTGTGTGACACATGGTCGTGGGTGTGTTCCCCGTACCTGCAAACCGCCCTAATATGAGCCGAGGGCTTAAGTGCTGCCTGATCGCTTATAAGCACCATCCTACCTCGCACTTCAGGCAAAGCAAGTGATAAAGGATACTAACAGCCAAAGGGAACGATAGAGTTGCGGTGGGACCATATACATTCCAGCATCCTTGCCAGGCGTTCAGGTTCCCACTTCATAGCGTCCTTCAAATGCATGAAGCTCGAAGTGGGAAGTCCATCATCAGATCTGGTTTTGTCGTACACCGGACAGTCCAGCAAAATGTGCTTCTCATCCTCCATGCTAACAGTGCCGCAGCAGGGGCATACTTGTTCCTCCCTAGGTATATAACGGGGCCAAATCATCAGCTGCACCTTATCGGGCCCGACGCAAGAAAAACTAGCAGCAGCAGCAGCCCGGCGGCGGCCCGCTTTTGCAATATTTCAATTGCGAGATGTGTTCTCCCTTATTTTGCACCTGTACGGCGTTTACACGATGAGGTGGCAAACCCTCTTTCGTCAGCCAGGGTTTAGGGCTGCAGCCGCAACCTGCCGTACCTCCCTTGCATGATCGTGTATTCAGATGGGTGATTGCCGAATTTGAATGTGTGGGGATAGACTAACTCCTGGAAGGGCTTCAATCCCCAAGTTGCGATCCGTAAGGGGCCAAGGGGGTTTCGGAGCAGCTCGAGTGGTTTGCCTGGACGTCATGGAACCACGGACTGGCACTGACCGCAACAACAACCACTTCCAATGGCAAGGCGGCAGCGGCAGCAGCAGTGGGGCCTGACGCCGCCGCCGCCACGGCCGCTGACACCCCCGTAGATGCTGGATGCAGCAGCGGTGGCGGCTGTGGCGGCGGCGGCGGGGGCCCCCGAGGGGCTTTGTCGACCCGGTTGCGGTGTTGTTCTGTTGTGATGTCGGCAGCGGGGAGGCTGCTCGGGATGCTTATTCCTGGACCGTCGGCATCACCGTCGATACCCGGTGGTGGTGGTGATGGTGGTGGGAGCAGCGCCCAGGTTCTGAGCTGTCGGCGGGTGAGTGGCGCCAGATGGCCCCAACTGGGGTTTTAGGGTTTTGGGGTTTTAGATTTCCTTCTTTGCCCCTACGAGCTGACATGCGTGGAAGGTTGGTTATGGGGTTGCAGTTGAGTGATTTGGGTCATTACGTCAAAGTAACGCTGACAGGGATCTATATAGCAGCAACAACAACTGTTGGAGTGCTGTCGTGATCAACCTCATCGTTGAGGACGTTAATGCCGGAAGCCTGTCTTGTATGTCTTGTGTCTGTCTGTCTCTCTTTGTCTGTCTGCCTGCCTGTCCGTCTGCCTGTCTGTCTGCCTGTTCGTCTGTCTCTCTTTGTCTGTCTGTCTCTCTTTGTCTGTCTGTCTCTCTTTGTCTGTCTCTCTTTGTCTGTCTGTCTCTCTCTGTCTGTCTGTCTCTGTCTGTCTATTTGTCTGACCATTCCGCCGTACTAACCTAACCCTTCCAGGTAGCCCACCCGAGCTATCTTTGCAGTCAGGGCAGGATTGGCATGGCCCGCCCTGACTTTGCCCTCTTTGCATGCACGTGCAGCATGCCTCGCTGCATGTGCGTTCTCAGCCTTGGAACACCTGTCCGTGGAAGGAGCGACAGCGGGCCACGGGAGCATCTCGGTGCGGCATGCAGACACCATGGCCTGTGGGTGCGCACTATCTGCACTTCGTGTGCGGGAGGGTCTTTTTGTGACCTGGGTTAAGTGCTGGTCCGCGCGTTGTCAGGTCTTACCTCTTTGGTTTCGTGAGCGGGAGAGAACCTATGCGGGTGGAGACCTTTGCAGGACATCATCCTACTATTCGGTGACAGCTACTACTGGGTGCCGTGCAGTGATGCCGGGAGGCTGTGCTTGCGTGCTCCTTGGTCTTCTAGGCGCCTGTCCTTGTCAAGCGCGGGTCCTGTCTTGCTCTGGTTCCGAGTCCGTGGCTTCCGGTCCCTACTGGCTGCTGCTGGCCTCTGGGTGCAAGAGGCACTATGTGGTGCTTCCCTTGCTTGCGCTTCTAGACCTTCTTCCCTCTGCAGCCTTTCTATTGCGGCAGTTGCTTCTTTTGCTTTTGGTTTGCACCCCGGATGTGGGGACTTGCTGAGGAATTTATCCAATGGCAGTTTTTCCAAAAATCGTACGAGCCCTGCACCCCACAACCTCCTCACAATCAATCCGGTCAAGCCCAGCAACCTGCCCGCATCACACGGCCCCCTGGCCGCTTCTTTCTCTATTTGCTCCCTGGCTGCCAGGACTTTGGCCCCTTGCGGGCGGAAAAACGTCCTTAGGCGGCAGTACCTTGGCCCCGGCAAGTCCTTGCGGCGTTCCAGGGCCACCCAGGACTTTTTACCAGCGGCAGCCCCAAAACCCCTGGCATGCCAAGACTTCGGGTCAAGAAAAATCCTTGCACAAGTGGTTGCGGTATTAGCCTGAGTGCGGCAACCAAGGCAGGAAATAGACATAGACGTGCACAAAGCACATGATGTGATGTCACTACGATGGGAAAAAAGTCAACAAGGTGGTCAAAGCGATATCACGACATCGCCCACCCAAGCCAGCCACAAAGTATGCTGATGCAACAATACCGAGCGGGAAAAGGACCACCTGCGTCCACAATTGCAAACCGACCTGCAAAAAGTTTCTTCAGAGGTACCCTGCATGGAGCACGCAGGGCAAACAGACGACAACCCCGATGCAGCTCAGGCTATGAGGCCTCACACACGAGGCAACCGTATCTGCTAGTCAGGTCCACCTCTACAAAGTGTACACTCATCGCAATTCGCATTTTAGGGTCAACCCTAAAACCCAAGGTAGTATTGACATTAGCATCCTGCAAGAGAGCTGTTGCATACCCTGACAGTGGCCGTACATCAAGGGTGCTAGCAAACGGGTCGTGCAGAGCTTATTGTGTCCCACCACATTTGTTGGCACCCGTCAAGTGGTTGCCTCAGCCCGCACCGGCACCTGCACCACGCCCTGCCAGCCAGCACTCACCACAGGAACCAAACCAGTGGGCAGGGGCTGTGCTGGATTACTAGAATCTCTGCATATGCAAAGGCTGGGGACCACTATCGCCGTGTCCAGGAAAGCCACATCCTTGAACTACAGTACCTGATATATAACAAAAACCTAACATTTACCTGCAGGACCTTTTCCCAACAACTGGCTAACTTGTTAAGGCGTGACACAACCTATCTTGTGAAACGACTATTACGAAAAGGACTCAACACACAGCATGGCAGCCATGCCGAACCCCAAGCCCAAGCCGAACCTGAACCTCCGCCCACCAGCACCTAGCCCAGTCCTGCACTGAAGGCCAGACATACCCCGTCCCCTAAAGGGGAACTTTAGTTCCCCTTTAGCAGGGCACGATAGAGCTGAATGCCTTCTGGGGCTACTCGAAGCCTACTGCAAAGCGACGGGTATGGCCGCGAATGCCGCCAAGTGCGAGGTCCTCATTTTTGGGGGTGCTACGCGTGAGCGGAAGCGGCTTGTTGAAGCAGAGTGCCGGTTAGGTGGGGCGGGGTTGCGGGTGCTGACCGGCAACGAGACGGCACGGTATCTCGGGTTGCACTATGGCCCAGGAGTGCAGTTCTCAGCATGTACCAAGCAACTACTCACAGCAGGGAGGCGGGCCACATTTGGGCTCAGCACCCTGTGTCGTGATAAGAAAATTACCACCCCCAAGCTATGTATGTCTCTCTACAATACACTAGTTGTACCGGTGTTTTCTTATGGAGCGCAAGTTTGGGGACCTGACTTCATTAATGTGAAATTTGAAGGTGCTATGGCTAATCCCATGGTCCAGGAACAACGTGCTTACATGCGAACCGTAGTTGGGGCGAGGAGCCCGACTATGGTTTCCCTATATCGCGAGCTGTCACAGAGGCCACTCCAGTTCCATTGGACCAATCTTGTACTTAGGTTTTGGAACTCTGTGGTTAAGAGGCCGGGAACGGTGTGTCACCGGGCATTTGTCGCTGACCTGGAGTTGGCACTTGGGGGTGCCACTGAGTGTTGGGCAAGCAAGGTACTAGCCTTTCTTACTAGCTTAGGAGTGGAACCCCCCACTAATACGCGCGGTAATGATCTTATATCGTACTACACCACCCTTAAATTGCCAGTCGAGAGCATTCTTAAGGTTTTTGCCAAGCGGCTTGATGCTCGGTGGGAGTGCCCGAATACCTTGGGTGACCCCCGCGTCTTCCCCATAGGAATTACCGGAGCCAAGGCATGTCGCTATATGAACTGGATGGGAGCTGCCCCGTCAAGGGGTGCGCGTCTTGATTGGCTGGAGCACACTAAAGGGACCATGCCCCAGCGACTTCATCATGTGCTCATGCGTTTTCGGTTAGGCTGTTGGGAGTTAGAGGTTAATAGACCTAATGGGTGTGAGCGCACCACGTGTACCTGCAGGCTTTGTGACTGTGGAGCGGTTGAAGATGAGTTGCATGTTTTTAAAGAATGTCCCGCTTACAAGAGCATACGGGCTAAGTATGATGGTGACCTAGTCCTTACGGGGCGCAGCATGCACACCACTATGACTGAGGCGCCACCCCTGGCATTGGCCAGGTACCTCTCGGAAATCTGGGAGGCCAGGCACGTTGCGCTGAGGCGCTTCACCCTGAAGCGGACGAGGGAGAATGAAGATGACCTCCCGCGTACCCGCATCAATACCAATACAACGTCCATGGGCCCCCCGGCTTTTACGGACACACCCGCACTTGTGTGTGGAACTTGTAACTTGTAACTTTAGCATGGAGACTGCTATAGCCCAATTACTGCTCGCACGAAACATGCTGAGGCCCAGTAGCACCTTGCTGCAGGCAGCCAGCAACCACCGACAGCCAGCCCTCGCCCATACACATGCTTCATCCTGGCAGCACTTGCTGCAACAGCTCTGTGCTGACATGACCAACCGGCCATCATACAACAAACATCCATGGTATACTGCAGCCGAGCAGTGCCATGCTGCAGCCGGCCAGTACTACTGCAACCGAGCTCTGGTCCCACACTGCTGGCACTACACTGCAGCAGGCCTTTGCTGCCAAAGCAACCCAGCACTGTCACTGCCAGCCAGCCCTGGTACTGCACCGCCGGTACAATGGTCCAAACAGCAGGTGCCGACTATCACCAGCCCTCCTCAGCACTAACCGCGGAATGCTGCAACCCAGCAGCGCCTTGCTGCAGCCAGTCTGTGCTGGTACTGGCAGCCAGCCCTTGTGTCCAACACAACAGGCTCTAAACTGCAGTGGGCCATTGCCGCTTTTGTTAGCCAGGCCTGCCACGCTGCCAGTGCTGGCAGCACTATCAACACGTTCGACGCCGCCAGCCAGCGCTGCCACCTCCAGCCAGCCCTCATCATGCATTGCAGACGCTATACTGCAGCCAAGCAGCACCTTGTTGTAGCCAGCCGGCACTGCCACCTCCAGGTAGCCCACTGCCTTGCATCGTCGGCACTATCTTGCGGCCCAGCAGCGCCAGTGTTTGCCACCGCCAGCCCCCCACTTGTTCTGCAAACCTGGGTAGCAGCCGCTGGAGGGGCCAGTGATTGTGTCAGCATGGCTGTCCTGCAGCGCTCGCTTGCAACGCCAGCTGCGTACGCAATGCTGTGATTTCCTGGAGAGGCAAGCAATGATGGAACCACCAAATGCTTTTAACAATATCACCATTACTTTGACCATCTTTACACAAGGAGAGGTCGTTTCAGTGGAGTGTTGTCAAATACAGTCACACAATCTGCAGTATGACAATACATGCACCGACTGCTACTACAAAGAAGGACAATAAGCCAGCACTGCCACCTCCAGCCAGCCCTCGTCACGCATTGCAGGCGCTATGCTGCAGTCAGGCCACGCCTTGATGCAAACAGCCGGCGCTGCCACCTCCAATTAGCCGGCAGCATTGCACCATCAGCACTATCCTGCAGCCCAGCAGCGCCAGCTGCATCAGTGTTTGCCACCGCCTGCCCCCTACTCGTTCTGCAAACCAGCACTATGCTGCAGTCCAGCAGCAGCTGCTAATTTGACAGGTGCTTGTCACAGCTTTGCGGTTTTACAGTGCATGCATGCAGCGCCTGTCACACCTGCATTAGTGCTGTTTTCTCCACCGATGCCGACGCGGCCAGCTTTACGTTCTCTGCTGCCGCCACCATGACCCGCTTCACCGCTAAGTCTTCAGCCACCACGACCCGCTTGGCTGCTAAGTCTTCGGCCGCCACAACCTGCTTCACATACTCCGCCACTAAGTCTTTGGCGTTAGCATTTTCCTGAGGAGGCAAGCACATAATGAAGGCACCCAAACGCATTAAACAACATCACCATCCATTTAAACCTTGACACAAGGCAGGTGACTTCACCTGTTGAACACGGGTCACACAGTCCACAGTATGACAGTACAAGACCAGCACCGACTGTTAAGATAAAGAAGGAGAACACACCACACAGCATTGGATCATGGTATGACTACTGGCGCCCCGTCTCACACCAATGGAGCTCAGCCTGCAATACAAAATGAAGTGAACACAGTTGCCAATGTCTGACATGACATACAACTGCCTTGGCATCGAGCAGCACCGCAGTCACTAAAGCACAACAGCCTTGGCATTGATTGTAGGCAACTACCGCACCTTGGCATTCGCCAGGGACTCCTTGACCCAGCTCTCTGTCTGCGAGTTGATCACTTCCTGGCCAGCATCTTGGCGTGTTGGCAGCTCCCGCAGGTCCAGGCCAGGGTACATGATCTTCAGTAACTGCTCCAGCACCTGTGGCGGCACAGGGAGGGGCAGCACTTATTACACACAACCAGAAACCGGCAGGCAAAATATTTTTAAGGATGATGTTCCCCTGCAAAACGTCTTCGGTGGATTGCATCACGACATAAAAGCTCTGAAATGAGGATGGCATACACGCAGATGTGAAGTAACAAGATGCAAGCACTTTAGCGACAGATCAGTGTAGGGATAAGGCAAGTTTGGCAGAGGAAAAGGGAAGGTTGCACACGAGGTCCTATGGACCCCACACCGATACCCAGAGTTTCACCAGCATTTTTCCACGGATTTGGTGCCCTGACACACATGCATCCTTATGCTGTCCTTATCACTTCATCCCACACACCTGGTAGTAATCTGAGCTATAAGTCTTCAAGCCAGCATAGATATGCTCATACAGCTGTATGGAGTACACATACAAGCTTGCTTTGGCTCGCATCAGGCTGGCAGGTGGGTCCTGCGGCACAACCAAAGTTGGTGCCTGTGCAACTGCTGCTGCTGCTGCACCCTGCTCATTTGTTTGTGGCCGTGGCCCCGCACGCTGGACCTTGGCAAAGTACCACGTCTGCATGTCCGTGAGCAGCACCCACACCGGCTCCTCTGTGCCGCTTGCCTCTGCCAGCTCAAGTGCAGTAGCCAGTGGCTGCCATAGTTGCTTTTCGACATCCACAGCTGCCTTCACCTCCACAATGAGCACGGGGGTGCAATGCTTGGACAGAATGCTTGCCATCAAGGCTTTGGAGTGCACTTTCCGCACCTTGTCAGGGTGGGAGTGAACGAGGACAAACTTGGACTTTCCTGCAGCAGCAGATATCATGCAGTGAGACGAATGGACTTGAACAGTCATGTAGGGACAGGTGCCTCACTCCCAAGAACAATGGCCAATGGCCTTGGGTGTATGGTCAGCTGCATGTCTTAAAATGGTCCAGAGCATTATATGTGACTGTAACATGCTCCAAACCAGAGCCATGGGCATTGGCTTGGTAAAAGGGACTCACAGCTGTTGTAACACAGCAAAGGCGTAACCCGGGATTCTCAGATTGGCATTTGCGTCGTTACATTGCCCCCCACTTAGCAATGGACGTCCTCGGCCATTATTTCGAGCACAGGAGCCATCCCACCTCGCGCCAGTGCGCTGGTTTATCCATTACACCATGAAATCGCCAATTTGCGACTTGCTGGTTGCCAGAATCGAACCGCCGACCCGAAGTTTGTTACGGAAGTCGTGCAGTCCCGTCTCGATACCATTGTAACACAGCAAAGGCGTAACCCGGGATTCTCAGATTGGCATTTGCGTCGTTACAGCTGTGCTGTCGTGCCTGAGCAATTAGCTCAGAGCCTCTGTGGTGTCGTACATCATAAAGTTAATGCAGTAATTATTTGCTCCAACCAGAACCACAACATGGGACCATGAACATAAAATGATGGTGCATGAAACAATGAGGCCAGACCACAGCTTGGCTCATCCCACAGCCATACTGCATCCCCTTGCATACCTTGCGCCAACAGCCCTTCCAAGCTCTCCTCAAAGCCAGCATGCAGCAAGAAGTCTGTGGGATGCAAAAGCAAAAGGGTAAACATTGTACTTAGGCATGCATAGCAGTATGTAGGTAATAGGACAATGCCATTTTTGCTTTAAACCAGGATGACTGCACTTTGGTAGAGGAGGAGGGGGGTACCATACCTTGAAAGCTATAGGACCCAATGGGAGCCAATGAGACAAGCACCATGTGAGCTGCAGCTCACCAGCTGGTGGAGCCAGGTGCTCACCTGTGATGAGTGTTCATCTTCTGGACTGGACATCTGCATCTGCCTGCACATTTGCTTTTGCACCCTTACAGCCGAGTGCAGAGCTGATTACCCTTGTGATTGTGGCCCATCAGGTGCATGCATATAGCACATGTAAGAGGGATCAGCTTCCCTGGCATCTCCCGACTGAGTACTCTTTGCCTGGTGTTACATTGGTGCGAATTGCTAGGAGGTGGGAACTCCCCTGATTGAATCCGGCTGTGAACATATCGCACACCAGGCATGATGCAGCATACTCTTACCCCAAAAGTGGATGCCCAGGTGGGTGAGAAGTCTACCAGCTGAGTAAAAACAAAGTCCTCCATCTCGGACGGAGACTGACGAAATGTCAATAACACTCAAATTCACAATCCTACGGGATCTCAAACAACATAAATCCTATGGGATAGGCCCAGGGGCGCCTGAGGATGTTCACTCGAGGGGGGGAAGAATGTAAGAGGGATCAGCTCCCCTGGCACCTCCCGACTGAATACTCTTTGCCTGGTGTTACAGCACACATGCACATGATGCACACGGGATATAGCCTGTGTGCTATAGCCCATGTGCTATAGCCCATGTGCTATTGGGTCAAGTGGGTGCAGGTGTTGGCAAACCAGACAGGTGCAACGGGTCCTTCCATTATGCCTGTTGCAGAAATTGCAAAAGCTACTGCCGACGGGTCCTAAGGCTGTATGGCAGCTCGAACAGCAGCGCATGACAGGTCCATTCGGGTCCATCGTAGTCTGCTGACTCCTGACTGGGTGTGTTCCCTTTTGGGCTCTGGGGACCATGGTAGGGGCCGTGTACACAACATGAAGATGCAAGCACCAAAAGGGTGCAACCAACATACCATGCTCGCCATCTTCCACGTCATCTTCCTCGTGATCTTCCTCGTCATCTTCCTCGTCATCTTCCGTGTCATCTTCCGTGTCATCTTCCTCGTCGCCCACGTTGGCATCTTCGCTTGCCTCATCGTCACCACCAACGAAGACACCGAACAGCTTGTCCAGTCCTTGGAATGACAGCAGGTTCTTGAGCAGCTCCCAGAAGATAATGTACTTGGGCCGCTCTTGGCTCGGAGGCTGGATTACACACGCGCTTGCGATGAGGACATCCTTGAAAACTTTTGGGAAGATAATATCTATGACCTCATCATAAGGCAGCTTCAGCTTCCTCGTTTTTAACAGTATAGCATCACCATCAAGGCCTTTAGCCAGCCAGCCAGCATACCTAGTCTCAAATGCCGTCCCTAAGATTTTGGAGAAGGCTTGCTTCTTGGACGAGGCGCATGACGCCGCACCCTCAGAAGCCCGCTTCTTGGGACCCATTGTTGCAATTTGTACATGCGATGTTAGACTAAAACTTGATTAAGTGCTCGTCCTGTAGTGCGGTACGGCATGTGCGGCGCAGGAATTCGCAGCCCAGAGCTGGGCAGAGGACAGGGACGGATACCCTAGTTCGTTACAAAGATTAGCTGGGAACAAGGCGCTAACTTCAGACAACGCAAGATCGCCCGATAACTGTGCAAGCAAGCGCAAGTCAGAACGTCGTTTGTTGGAGAATAGAGACGTCAAAAATACGCAGGATGAGTGTGGGCAACAGAGCGGCATGGGAAGGGTGGCAATCGGGGGTTCCCGGCTTCCACGACCAGAGGAGCGCAAGTCGGAGCCCGGTGGGTGCGGGCTCCCAGGGCCTAGTAAACCCGGGACTGGGAACGTCTCACGGTGGGGGGGCCGCGATGGACCGCGGCTGAGTCCGCCTGCCAGTGTAGTGGTGGCTCTAAACCAGGAGCTGGGTCGGCGGGGATACCAGGAAGTGGGTGAAGAGCAGATTACGGAGAGCGTGTACAGGGGCCATGTGAATGGCACTGACTTGTGTACTAGCTACGCGGGGAAGGGGCCCTGTGTTACGGTGCAGGTTGGGCAGCACTGCCGGTATAAACACCCAGCAACAGAGGCAGCACGGGTGGCCTAACGGGCGGACACCCTGGTTAGCCGCAATGAGGCGCCGTGCAAGGAGACCCAAGCCCAGAGGCCCAGGCTTACTGTGTTAACTGCGATCAAGCAAGGGATAGAAGGGGGAAGGAGCCGGAGGATCTAGCACTGGCTACCACACGGACACCCGGGAGGAGGAGGGAGCTGATCTGGACGAACTGCTGTCATGAAATGATGACCCTTGTGAAGGCAGCAAGTGGGTGAGTGAGGAGCAGAAAGGGGAGAACCCGGCGTTGCAGGATGAACACCAGCAAGGGGAGCGGGGACACCCAAGGAAGCGTGCAGTGAGGTGTACAGCTGCTACAGGAGGCCTGACAGAGGCTACAGCCTCTAGGGTGACATGATGCAGTAGATCAGCAGAATGAGCAAGAGTTGTAGAAGAGATCATCTTTTGCTTCCGGACCTGAGGACTACCAGCCAGGAAAGCTACTTACACATGTAGCAGTGTGGTGAGAGTTCTTCCAGGCAGCTAAAGAAGGCTGCCCGCTCACGGACAGAGACATTGGCTAGGCCACCTGGAGGGAGGGCTCCAGCTGGAGTGGGTGTCGTGCACACACCCAGGACAACAAATAGTGCCTGAGCGGGACTGCAAGCTAGCTATTGTGCAGGAGTTGCTGCAGGTCGCGATGCTGGAGTGCAACCCGGAAATAATAATGACAGGTCACCGGCCGCATGCAGTGCAGTTCCTACAGCGGCGTCGTTACAGCCGAGTTAAGCACGGCTCTCTGCGGTGGGATACTGGAATGCCCAGCTAATGCACTACACCCACGCTTATCAACAGCCTGCGAGTGGTGGGAAAGGAGGCCTCTGCATCCATCCGAGGTACTTTAATTGTTTCCTGGAATACCGGCCTGTGCAGCAAGAATGCCTGGCAGATGTCACAAGGGCCAAGGGGAGGAGGGGCTGGTGAGCGGGAGGACCCTGGGTACCACCTGGGAAGTGAGTGGGGAAGGGGAGACCGCTCCACGGTGTGTTTTGGGGCTGGTCGGGGTTATCTTTGGAGGGTTTGGGTACCGTGGGAGTGTGGTTGCAGACGCAATGGCCTTCCCCACAGAAAGTTAGTAGGGAGTACGGATCACGCGCTGACATTTAAGCAATGGCTCACGTCACGTGAGCCACTGCTCACGTGAGCACCCCCACTACATGAGCACAGCTTGGCCCAGACAAAGGTAAACAGAAGCGTTATAGCAGCCCTCAAGCAGTTTTGGGAAACTATGGAAAATTTTATGAAGCTGACTGACACTTGGTGATCCGAAGCCTCCGTACTTCAGCACGCTGGGACCTTGCAGATCTGATTAAGAGTCCCTTTACCGCACCTACCTGTATCATACAGCCATTACTGGCTCATACATAAGCCCAATTTGGATCATGGTGATCAATCGTGCACTATACGTAACCGTGACAGTGGCAATTGTTCACTTTAGATATACACAGCTCAGCGGCATATCCAGCCCATCCTCAGCAAGTACAGCCGGGAGCCTGTGCTTTGCAACCAGACACTCGGGGGCGACGCTCCAGACCGATGGTCGCGGTCTCCGGTGTTCGTCACAGCACTATGAAGTGAACACAGTTGTGACCGCTGCAAATGCGTAGCCGGCTTGCAAGGCTGGAAGCAGCATACCTCAGTAAAGATCTTATCCCCAGCGTTTTAGCGTCCCAAGCACTCTTAGCGTCCCCCAACACAGAAGTTCGTGCACGCTCCATGTAGCGCCTTCTCCCATATGCCTGAACGGGCCACCTGGATACCAAAGCCCAAACATCAGTTTCAGCAGCCACAGTCTGCTACAGCCTGTTGGCCCCTTGAAAGTTGAGACAGCGCCATGCATGCACAGGCAGGCCTGGTGAACCAGCGTGTGTGCAGCTGTCCTGCTGCTCACTGCTGCAGCTTCTGCCTGGCCCCCCCCCAGCTCGCTGGCCACACGCAACAAGACGAGAGGCGCCAACACACAGCACAGCCGTGGCAGCAGCAAACGTTCTAGACCGGCTCCATCCCGACATGCACCCAAGAATGTCATGTTCACAGTCCTTGACAGCCACCGCAGTGATGGTGCAAGGCGCAGGCGTCGGCTGCAGGTCGGCGCCGAGCCACATCCCAGAGCTGCAACCTAGTAGAGAACCACATGCCAGCTGCTACTCCTATCTGGGCCTGCTGGGCCACATGCCAGGACGACACCCCGTTGGAAAGCCGGCCACCAGCTGCTGCCCTTCTGTTATGCTGCTGGGCCATATCCCGTCCCCAACCGTTAGCTGCTGCTCTCCTCAGCAGCTGCCGGCTCCTTACTGGCCGGGGGCCCACATGCCCGGTGGCGGCATCCCCAGTGGCGGCATGCCCGGGGGCATACCCGGCAACGGCACTGTGAAAGAAGGGTGAGGGAAGGTGCCAATTGGAGTCGCGGTATTGGGCAGCAGAGAGGGCAGGTTGTTTGGAGTCCATGCAAATTCTTCCGTGAGGCCACTTACAAGGACTGGAGGTCAGCAGCAAGCAGACCCTGGCGACAGGACGACAAGCAGCACCACGACAGCCAGTAAAGAGAATTCAAGCAAGCAGAACCTCACAGACACAGCAGAGGACGATGGCAGGGACAAGCGGAAGAACAAGGATGGCGGCAGAGGGCGAGAAAAGCAACAGAACAGCAGCAGGACCATGCCAAGGATGATGCAATGAGGAAGTTGTCGAGCCCTGCAGCAACCCGCCAGCTACATAGCATGCAGAACCCAAGCCCGCCGCCAAGTAGCCTGCACGGCCATACAACACATGTGTCGTGGTGCACACACAGAGACTCGCAAAACAAGCACATAGTTTGCTTGCAGTCCTATTGCGTGCTGCAGTGCATTATCTTGTTACACCTTTCACCCTAACACAGGCTTCAAAGCCACTTGTGTGATGTTGTTAGGCGCGCCCAAGCTAACAAGCAATGCATGTGCAAGAGGCAATTTGATGAAGCCCGGGCTGTGTGACTTTGCCGAGCCTGCACAGCCCCCGGTCACTTTCTGGCCACGGCGGCGTATGCCCATGCCTGGCGGTCCCATGCCCGGCGAGGGCATGCCAGGCATCTCTAGTGGCGGCATGCCGGGGCACGGCATGCCCATGGGCATCCCCGGGGGTCCGATGCCCAGCGGCGGCACTGCAGGCAAAGGTGCGGGTAGGCGGCTGTGGGGACGATGGTCAAGGACGTGGTTTACAGTAGGAAAGAGCCACGCTTTGCAAAGACCCGCCGTGAGAGGCCAAACTCATGGCACACCCTTGTGAAACATAAGCACGCTCATGCACACTGGATTGGCACGATATGGTGGTGAATTTCGGCGCCTTGGCATCTTGTGCCAGGGTGTGCAGGATTGCAACAACACTGGATATGAATACCTGGCCAGTTGTGTTGGCCAGCATAGAGAGGCGAGCATGATCCGTCAGGCCGGGAGCGGCTGACACTCCTGGCTCATAACCCAACATGAGGTCACATTTCCCAGGATACAGCGAATCGTACTGTGTGGTAATATTGTTGTACAGCGGAGTGGTGATACTCCCCACGTCCAAGCCACACTGCCCCACTGAGCCTGGATAAAGTGCACGGACGGGCTTTCCTGCATGGTCACAGGGGTAGTACGGATAGCACATCTGACGCGAGGGAATGGGTGCAGAATGCTCACTGCTAAGCACATCTTGGAGCTGTCTGCCGGCAGGCCAGATGGCAGATTGCACGACACAGGTGAACTCCTCGGGTGACGTGAGGTTAATCCAACATTGGTAAAGACAGTGGGAATACGAGCCGAAGCGTGCAGCATCAGTAAGGGTGGCTCTCCCGAACATCTGGCTAGCATCCTTCTTGGCAGTTCGGACTCGGGTGTTTGGGCTGAAGGCGGCAGGGATGTACAGCCAAGTATGCAGGCCGGGCGAGGTGAAGGAACGAGCGCCTGAAGCTCGTTTATCATGCTGAGAACCTTTGGCACTACATCAGCTGACTGAGTGTTCCAGAACGTGATGACCAACCACAGGCTACCCTCCTGAGCTCCTGCCAGCCTAAGCTCCACCATCCTTGCATGCTGATCTGTGTCCGATTACAGATATTTGTTGACCCTAATTCCATTTCGCAGACAGGCCTCAAGGCCTGCACACACGACTAAGCCCACCGGAACATTTTGCAGCGGACAGCCACTGGGTCGCGAGGCCTTGCAGCTGGGTCTGGGCTGCGGCTTGCTGAGCATCTTCGGCCTTGGGAGGCGGCTCAAGCGACTCAAAACACCAACCATTCCATCCGCAGAGACTCTCCGCCGGGCTGGGGCAGAAGGTGTTGCTGAATGGGGCAACAGGTGCCGCGGTGTGGATGGTGGCGCTTGCC